GGGAGGGCGGGCGGGTGGCGGGCCCGTCGAGGGGCCAACGGCTCCGGGGGCGCCGCTCTGCTGCGCTCCGAGGTGCACGCCGCCGCTGCTGTCTCCTTCTGCCCCGCGGCGGCCCGGCCGGCCGCTTATATAGCCCGCTCCTGCCCACACGGCTGCGAGCTCGGATGACAGCGAATGCCATTTAAAGCGTGCGCGCCCCGCGCCCTTCCGCCGGACGTCGCCCCGCCACTCCGGGAAAGTAACGGCCCCTTCCTCGGCACCGCCCGCCCGCCCCCCGCCAACCCACTCCGGAAGGCAGGCCCCGCCCGCGGAGGTTCCGGGAGAATCCTAGGCTCCGGGAGCACGCGGGGGGCGGCCCAGGAGCAGGAGCCTCGATCTGCTGGACTGGGCTGGCACTTCCTGGGATTGGCCCAAGTCTGTACCAACCCGGCTCGCCGCGGGACGCGGGTCTCCTACAAGGCACCTAATCTCAGGGGCACACACTCAAGGCGCTGGTTATTCCGCCGGTGGTTGAGATGAGGGCGCCGTGGCGCGATGCAGTTCCCAGCTTTCCCCGCAGCGGGGACAGCCAGGGCGCCAGAGGTAGGGCGAGTTTCTTCTCTGGATCCTTGCCACCCCTTTCCCCAACACACACACATTAACAAACAAACTCCTGATTAATCCATTCTAGTTCTTTTCTGTGACTTCCAAGTCCCTGGGTACCCCTTCGATTCATGCTCAGAAAAGGACAGCCCTTGGATATACAACAACCAGTGATAGCAGCGTGCCTACAGCATCTCCTGCAAACCTCTGGAGAGCTTTACTCCAAGCCAGGCAATGAACTCTGTCTTACGAATATTATTCTATTTAATCCCCATAACAGCCCTGTATGGGTAACTGGTATTTCCCCATCTTCCACTGACAAAATTGCACGGAGAGAAGTCACTTACCCACTAGTAACTGAAGAAAACAAGTGCAGTGTTCTCTTAAACACCCCAGGTAAGGGCTGATACAGGGGAGCCTACCAGTGCCCCACCCCCTTCCAGAGCTTCTGAGAGCAGGCTGGCAGCCCCTGCCAGGTACACTAGGACCCCAGGTCAGTTTGGGAAAAGTGTGAGCAAGTCCCTTACTGTGGGGCCAGAGCTGCAAGTACATCCACAGCAGTGCACCTGGCCAGCACATGGCAAAGGAGGGAACTGGGATTTGGTGTCCATTCCTTCCATATCCACCCAACAAAAATGTATTGAGTGTTTACTGTGTGCAGGCTGGGGGAAGGCATGGATGTGAACTAGAAAGATAGTCCCTGCCCTCCTCAGAGTTATGTTCTAGTGGCAGACAGACAACACACACAGAAACATAGTGTGCTGTGATGAAAATCAAGCAGGGTACTGTGATGAGGATGCAGGAGGAGTGGTGGGCAGGAAAGGCTTCTCAGGGGCTGGTATTGACACTGACACTAGATGGATAAGAAGAAGAACACTAACCAGTTGCCATCCCGTGGATTCTGACTCATTGTGATCCCGTGTGTGTCAGAGTAGCACTGTGTTGCAAAGGGTTTTCCGTGGGTGATTTTTCAGAACTGGATTGCAAGGCCTTTCTTCCCAGATGCCTCTGGGTAGACTTGAACCTCCAACCTTTTGGTTAGCAGGTGAGCACTTTAACTGCACCACCCAAGGACTCCATACTAACACTAACACACTGCCATGGAGTCAGACCCTACTCATAGCAACCCCTCCTTGGGTTTCCGAGGCAGTATCTCTATGGAAGTAGATTGCCCAGTCTTCCTTCCGAAGAGTGGCTGGTGGGTTGGAACCACCAGCCTTCTGATCAGCAGTCAAGTGCCTTAGGCACTATGCCACCAGAGCTCCCATACTAACACTATTAGATGCTTATTATGTTTCTTACTCTGAGTATTTTTAATGTATTAAGTCATTTAACATTGTATTAGCCATTTTATTTACTCCTTTCAACAACCTTTGGCAACAAATACTTTTTAAAAAAAAATACAGTTGCACACTTATCATAACCAGAACCAGAAAGGATACAAGCCAAGAGACAAACCAGGCAAGGTCTGGGAGTGTTCCTAGGGACATGCATGGGTGCTCTCAGTAACCCAGGAAGCCCCCAGGAAACAAGTACCTTTACTATTAGAGGAAAACCAAGGCACAGAGAAGCTAAGTAACTTACTGAAGGTTACACAGCTAGTAAGTAGGAGAATTGAGATTCAAATTCACACAGCTTGACACCAGGGCCCTCACTTTTACCCACTAGGCTGAAGTGGTTTGTGCTTGCTTTGTGTAGGACGAAGGAGGCAACCATGTGACGAAGTGAGAGTAGGGTGGAAAGGCAGCTGGCAAAGGCTCTAAGGCAGAAACCATTTTGGAGTTGCAAGAAAACCTGTGTGACTGAAGCAGAGTGGACGAAGGGGATGAGAAGACAGATGGTCCTGGAGGCTTTGATTCTCCTGTTGTTGTTACCGTTGTTGTTAGCTGCTATGGAGACAGCCTGACTTTGGTGACCCCACGCACAATGGAATAAAACATTGGCCGGTCCTGTGCCATCCCCGTGATAGGCTGTGGATCGGACCACCTGATAGGTTGTGGGTTGGACCACCCGATTCAGATTGCCAGGCCTTTCTCCCTAGTCCATCTTAGTCTGGAATCTCTGCTGAAACCTACTCAGTATCATAGCAACACACAAGCCACCCCTGCCACTGACAGATGGGTGGTGGCTGCCCATTAGGTGTACTGGCCGGAAATCGAACCCCAGTCTCCTGCGTGGAAAGCAAGAATTCTACCACTGAACCACCAATACTTCACAGCTAGAAGTGATGGGGTGCTGGTTTAGCCAATGGAAGTTAGCAACAGGGAAACAGGTACTGGAGGATGGAAAGCTGGTGACCTGTTACGCTATGACAAAATATTTGTTACATCACCTGTGGTAACTTGAAGGGGCTCTGGTAGTGTAGTGGTTAAGGCACTTGACTGCTAAATAGATCGATGGTTTGAACCCACCAGCCGCTCCATGGAAGAAATATAAGGCAGTCTGCTTCTGTAAAGATTGACAGCCTTGGTCTTGGAAGATAAACCACATACCTACTAAGTGTATCATTCTAGAAAATTGGTTGGAAAGAGCCAAGAATGTTTCCATGGGTTGGTTGCTTGATACTGTTTTTAGCAAGGTGTTACAATTAAGAGATTGGCCAATTTGCAAGCAGAGATGGGCAGAGATAATGTCCAGAAAACTCATGTCTTCAAAGCTGTCAAACAGCAGATCATATGTTGTGACCCAGAACCTTTCTCAAAGCCTGTTAGGCCAAACCCTTGTCGTACTATGACAAAACATTTGTTAAAAACATCACCTGTGATAACTTGGCAGCCAAATAAGAGCATCACTCCTGCCACAGTATTAATTGCAAGTGTAGCCTTTCCATGTAAGCCTATTATTTCAGATGGCCTTAAGGTAACTTTCATTTGAAATGAGGGAGAAAGGGATGGGTTGGGCAAGGAAGACAGACTTCAGAACTTTATCAAGGAAGGAACTTTGGGTGTGGTTACTGACACATAGAACTGACTGGTAGCAGATAATCTAAAACCTACTAAGTTTTTGAAGGAATTTTTGTTATCAAAGCAATTGTGAGGTTGGACCGCAAAATCTCATGATTGTTCAAGGCCAATTCAGCCTCCAAACAAACTTCCAAACATCGTCTTGGGTGGACAATGATGAAAAAGGAAGGGCAAAGCCAAGGGCCAGAGAGGACACAGGACAATAGGGTCACCTCCACACAGCAGATCCAGGGTCTAATCAGATGACTTCATGTATTGCCGTGCAGGGAAGTCTTCACTGTTTTAGAGGGTGGACCATGGTGGAGACTGCTAACAGTCCACTCAGCTGGGTCACACTTTCCAGCTTCTCTTGCAGCTAGGTGCAGCCATGTGTCTAAGCTCTCATAAGTGGAATATGAGCAGAAGTGCTATGTGTGATTTCTGCCTCACTTCCTTGGACTTCTATGATAACTAGAGAGTCTTAGGAAGCTCCCTGTTAAAGATGGCAGAGCCATCATTAGTCTGAGTCCTTAAATGATCATATGGAACTGAACTATCTACTAGCCTGAAACACCTTCCCTAGAACTATTTATATGCGAAAGCAATCAACCCGATATTTTTAAACCATTCTAATCTGAATCTCCTTTTATCAACTTAGCATTGTCCTAACTAATAGAGACATCGGACATCCAAGTGGATGCAAGCAGGCCACTGGTACTCAGGGGAGAGGTGAGGGAAAGAGGTGAAACTTCTGGAGTCATCAGGGTGTATACAGATGGTGCTTAATGCCAGGAGACTGGGTGAAAGCCCACCCTCCAGTCAGAGAAATGCTGGGTGCAGCCAACACTGGGAGGAGCATGAGCCCATCAAGGAATCAGAGAAGCACTGGCCAACAGGATAAGAAAGAAGCCAGGAGAACGTATCAGGATCCAAGAGAAAGCTGTTTCTAGAAGGAAGGAGACCACTGGAATGGGTGTCTAGAGACAGGTACCAGCCTGGCTCTACCATGAACCTGTTGTGTGGCCTTGGACAAGGCATCTGTTTCTGATCTGCAGCAGTCTCAGCTCAAATGCTACCTCTTCAAAGAGGTCTTGTCTTTAAGGTTGTCCCTCAGTCACTCTCTTTTACTTTGCAACATATGGATCACCATCTAAAAGGTTTTCTTGTTTGTTTGTACTTCTGTAGTGTCTGCCTTCCCCCCTGGACTGTCAGGGCTGTCCACTGCCTAACCCCAGCACCTAGGACAGAGGTGGCACATGGAAGGGGGGCCATGGTTCCTGCTGAATGAACAGCCACCTGCTCCCCTGCTCCTGTGGCTCCGGCAGGCTGAGGAAGGGGCTGCACCAGAAAGCAGCCTGCCTCAATCAGGGCTCCCTTTCCAACACACACAGCTCTCCTGTCCCAAATTCCCAGGCCAGGGGCTGAGGGACCTGTCACTCCTCTCCATTTCCCTGGATTGGAGGCTCCCCCTAGTCTGGCCTGGGGAGGTAAAAGTAGGGAAGGAAAGAAGCCCTTCACGGCCAGGGTTCCAAATTAGCCATGAGATCATCCCTTCCACACTTGCTCCTGGAACTCTGCCCATGGGCCCTGCTCACAGGTGGCCTCCGAGAGGGGAGGGTGGACACGACTGAAATCTCCCCTTAAGGATGAGATCTGAAGAATACAGACCTAGATTCTGAAATCTAGGAAACCTCACCTCCACCAGGGCCTCAGACTCATCTGTGACCTTGGAGAGGCCATACTTGGCATACTTGCATACTGTGCACCTAGAAAACATGGGTAATGCCCTGGCAGTGTTGCTGTTATGTGCCGTCGAGTTGGCCCCGACTCATAGCAACCCCTCCTTAGGTTTCTGAGGCAGTATCACTATGGAAGTAGATTGCCCAACCTTCCTTCCAAGGAGTGGCTGGTGGGTTTGTCAATGATTAATGAATGGAAAGCACCTAGCCTAGTGCCTAGGCCTTAAGCGTGAGATTGAAGTTCCTTTCAGCTTCATTAAAGGAGCTCTGGTAGTGTAATGGTTAAGGCACTTGGTAGCTAACCAGAAGGTCAGCAGTTCAAACGCACCAGCTGCTTTGTGGAAGAAAGATTGGGCCATCTATAGACTAGTGAGTTTGATGTTCTGGTTTTGGCTTCATTATCTCATGCCCAAACCTACCCAGCCCCCCAACTTGCTTGAGATATCAGGGAAAGGTGCCAAGAAACTTCTGCAGAGAGCACTTTGGGGTTTCAGTGGCTTATCCTCCTGAGTCACCGTTTATAAGAGGAAACTGCACAGAGCAATGTGGAGCTCTAAGGAATGTCTCCAGAGATGGGGTTTCAGGTGGCGGAGGTGAGCCACATTGGGCTGTTACTGCTGGTGCCCTAAGTGGTCTTAGAGGGTCTCAATGGTATCAATTCCTTTTTCAACAGATCCCTCTCACATCCATCCTTCCTCCAAGGCTGAAGGGTCAGGTCTTCCTCTCTGGAGGGAGGGAGGGATGAGAACTGCCTGTACCTAGGAGTGGTGGTCAGATCTTGTGGGGGGACTGGGCACTGCGGGGCTGTCCCACTTTGGATGCTGGTCCTTGTTGCCCAGGGACAAGCCCTCGGGGTCTTGCTGAGTCAGCAGAGGCTGGGGGCATAGGAGGGGTCAATTTTGGCTATTCCAGTAAAGGCAAAGGTGGCCTGCCTGGAGCAGGGGTTGGTCAGTAAAGGGGATGCAGGACAGCCCCTTTTGTCATCAGGACTGTAGCCCTGGGATTGCAGAAGAAGGTGCTGTGGATTGTCATATCCAAAGCATACCCCAAAGAGGAGTGGTTGAAGTCCTCACCCCTGTCCCTGTGAATGGGACCTTGTTTGGGGAAATAGGATCTTTCTTTGAAGATATTATCAAGTTAGTCAGGCCAGGGTAGGGTGGGCCCTAGTCTTGTTGTTGTTGTTGTTGTTATGTGCTGTCGAGTAGGACACACTCATAGCGACCCCTCCTTGGGTTTCCGAGGCAGTATCGCTACGGAAGTAGACTGCTCCATCTTCCTTCCGAGGAGTGGTTGGTGGGTTTGAACCCCCAGCCTTCTTGGTTAGCAGTCAAGTGCCTTAGGCACTATGCTACCAGAGCTCCCAGGCCCTAGTCCTAGTCCTGGTGTTTTATGAAAGGGGAGAACACAGACAGAGTCACACACATGGGAAGACAGAAGCCCCATGAAGGGACATCTACAAGACAAGGAACATGAACCTTGGAGAGGCCATACTACCAGGAGCTGGAGTAGACAAGAAGCGTCTTCCCCTAGGTGAACAGATAAAGCCTGGTCCTGCAGCACACTGAATTTGGACTTCTAGCCTGGAACGTGAAATGGACTGACACAGTGGTGGCAACAGTGGGCCCACGCACAGCAAGGATTCTGACGACGGCGCAGGACCAAGTGGTGTTTCATTCTGTTGTACCCGGTTGCTGTGAGTCAGAGTTGACTCAACGACACACCTAACAACAACAGGCTCGAAGTGTGGGACAATAGATTTCTGCTCTTTAAAGCCACCCACCTCGTGGTATTTTGTTAAGGCAGCCCTGGGACACGCAGACAGGGGGACATTACAGACCTTTGTGTGGGACACTGTGCCGAGTGTGCCTGGCACATATCTCTTGCAAGTTATCCTCATTTCACCCTTTGAGGGGAATCCTGGCATCACCCCCATTTGCTAGATGTCCTACGTACTAAGCCAGGACTGCCTGACTCCAAATCAGTGTTCCTTGCTTGTAACACCTTATCAGGCTGCTTCTCTCCAGAGGTGAGAAAAGCCCGGGATTAGAAGTCCGCTAGCCTGGCTGCAGTACCAGCCTCACCGCCCAAGCACTCCACAGCCTTAGGCCAGTAGCTCCTCACCTCTGAGCCTCCATTTTCTCATCGGTGAAGTGAGGAGGCTAGACTGATTCGCTGGGGATGCCTCCAGCTCTGCGTCGGTCCGACTCGATGGCACATGACAACAGCCTCCTGCGCTAACATTCTAGAATCCTCAGGAGGATGCCAAGACCAGGGAAGCCACTGGTTCGCTCGTTTGTTCGCAGGAAGTGGATCTTTCCCTCTTGGGCCCGGGAGTGGCAAGCAGCCTGGCTGAGGCTGAGGGGGAGGCTCTCCTCCAGGGAGGGGGCCGCAGGGGGAGCAGATGGGGCAGGAAGATGGCAGCAGACCGGGGAGGGGCTTATGCCACCACCTCCTCCACCATCCCCTCCCACACTTTAACTTTTTGGCAGAGCTGGGGTTTTAAAAAAAGCAACCACCAGTTCTTCAGCTA